TAAAATCAAATTCTGTTACATCTTCTTCTACTTCGCCCCAACCATAATGTTCATCTGAAATGTATTTTGTAGATTTTTTCTGTGTCATAGTGGTATTTGTTGTCTTATTATGGCAAATATTTGGTTCATCTGTTAGATCAAAATGTTGTTCATCCCCAGATTCACTTTGATCGGATTCTGTATCTTCAGAACTATTTATACTAGTTTCGCTAAGATAAGTTTTATCAACTACAGAACCATCGCCAGAAAAATCGTCTTCGGACTCATTAAGATTTTCTGGGAGACTATCGAAACATTCTGCCTCTATTTTATTTGCTTCAATCTGTAATTCTTGTTCTGTTAACGGGCGATTGCTAGCATACTTTGAAAGTATGCCACTCTGTACATAACTTTATTTTTCATCTAAATTTTATAATACTTTTAAGAACAATTAAAACATTTCAATATTATTTATTCGTCCAAGAAACATTCAAGTGTTTATAATGGGGCAATAAAAAAAATCTTGTAACTAAATAAAGTGAACAAAATTTAAGAATGCTAAATTTAACTTAAGAGTGAGAGGTTTAAGTTCATACAATCAACTACATTTAAAGTAAAATCATCTAAAAAAATAATAAAAAAATTATCAAAAGTGGAATTAGTTGCACAAGTGCTTTTAATTAATCAGTAACTAAATAACACTAAAATATTAGACCAAAATTATTTTGTTTTATTACTAGCACTATTATGACTTATTCTATAAATGATATTTAATATTTCTTACCCTGGAATATTTGTATTATCCATATTTCATCATTAAAATTCACCAATATCACCATATAACCTTAAAATTATCACGTGCTCTAAATGTGTCAATAAAATTGTTTAGGAACAAACTACCAGTATACTGGCAAAGATTACAATATTAGAGACTACATACATATACGGCGTCTACATCTCATTCCTTTACTCCTGGTCTGTGTGAATATATAAAGCATTGAAATTAGTAGAGCTGTGAGCCAGTAAAGTGATAGTCAATCAGTATATTACGGAAAACTCGAACTACCAGTATAGTGGTAGTCAGGTGCGAACGTGTTAATAACTGACATAAGTTTCAAAACTAAGAAATAAAAATTTTTGTACGGCAGGATAAATAAAAACAATGACTTTTTTGGTAAGAATTCTTATAAAATATATTTATTCCTGCAATAATTATTCCAGTGCTTTTAAAGATTTAGTGCATTATCGGAATTTTTGTAGTTTTATCAATTATTATGATGATTATTAGATATTATAATGATGTCATTGGTCAACCTTAGGTAGTTCAGATCCCCTCCATTTATATACTACTCTCCAAAATTAAAGCACCACCTCAAATGAACCATGATTTTAAAACGTTTGTGAACGTTTAGTTGGATTTCGATGATTTTTTCATCATCATAAGCCGTTTTGAGTCCACTGTTGGACATAGCCTCTCGTAAATAATTCCAATTCATTATATCTTGAGAACTCTGAATGCAGTTGTGCTGAATGCGCTTGATGTCATCTGACCACCTTGTTAGAGGACGTCTTCGATTACGATAAGAATCGTGTCTAGGTCTCCATTACAGAATTTTCGTCGTCCCCCTTTCTTCTTTTAATCTAGCAACATGCCCCGCCCAGTTCCATTTCAATGTTGTAATCCTTTGAACTGCGTAAGTAACACCAGTTTTTCTCCTAATTATTGTATTTGATACTCTGTCTCTCAGGGATATATCCAGCATTGATCTCTCGCCAAACCAAGCCAAAGATGTTGGAGAAAGGGCGCTTACCGAAGACTTAAGGGTTCTCTACGACTACTTTAAACAATGGCGACTTCGCCCTAATACAAACAAAACTGAGACAAGCCTCTTCCATCTCACAAATCAGCTTTCGGATGACACCCTTAGCATCACCTTCAATGGCGAGATTTTGAAACATAATAACAACCCTAAATACCTGGGTGTAACGCTCGACAGATCACTGACGTTCAAAACCCATCTTACGAATGTAGCTGCCAAAGTGAGAACCCGTAACAACATAATAACAAAGCTTGCTGGAACGACATGGGGTGCCACTGCGGATACACTTCGAACCTCCTCACTGGCCCTGGTGTATTCTGTCGCTGAATACTGCGCACCGGTATGGCTAAATAGCGCTCATGTCAACAAGATTGATGTTCAACTAAATTACACTATGAGAGTAATATCTGGTACTATTAAATCAACTCCACTAAGATGGTTTTCAATTCTGAGCAATATAGCACCTCCAGATATTCGACGAACGGCAGCACTTGTCAGAGAATATCAGAAAATCATGGCAAATAATCGTCTGCCAATTCACCAGTATATTCCGCACGCCGCACGAGACCAACAAAGACTGAAGTCCAGACGACCCCCTGTCCAATCCGTTCAGGGAATGGGTGATAGCTACAATAAGCAAGAGCAGTGGACGAAAAGATGGATGCCAACAACAGAGCCAGACGTCATCAAAATAACAAGTACGTCGATCGGCTTCACTGGATCAAACCTGCCACGCCCTATATGGACAAAATTAAATCGCATACGCACGGGTCATGGCAAATGTGCCGATTCTCTATACCGATGGGGTCATGCAGAAAGCCCACAATGTGATTGTGGATCCCCAAGACAGACCATCCAACACATCATGGCGGATTGCCCAATCCGCAGATACAGCGGAGACCTTCAAGATTTTGCAGAGTGTTCTCCTGGTGCAATTGAATGGCTGTGCAATTTGGACATTAATATTTAATATTTAACTTAGGTTACAATTCCAATTTGAACATAATTATTATCTAAATACTACTTTTATTGTATTGTAATTATCCATACGCTAAATAAATAAAATTCCAAATGACACGTGAAAAAGAACAAAAATAAAATTGAACGATTTTTTACATAGACTGTTGCAGGAAGGCACGCTGGTAGTTTATCATAACAATTTCGTAAAAAGCACGTTGTTACCACGCCTTATACAGGTTTTCGGTATTCAGCATTCAGTGCATCGACTGCGCCTATAAGGATTGTTTTCACCGAAACCCCTGATGCCAAAATAAGCCGTAATAGCTTGTGGTATATATAGCTACCAGAGAGCGTTAAAGGGTAAGGGCTAGTTTAGTAGTAGAGAGATTGTATAAATAAATTCGATTAACTACAAGAGATTTGCATAAGACAAATGTTTTTTCTAACGGTGTTGGTTGTATATTATATGACGAAGTAAGTTATTCCAAATTTATCAATTATATGAATAGTCTGTACAATTATATTGTACGTTACCTTTGATGCTGTATGATTTTTTTTTCTCTCTCCAGTGTGCTGTATTGTGGAATCGCTTCGTTTGCTTCTTACACTCAGGTGGCAGTTTATATAAAAAAACTGCGCGTTGGTTATAAAAATACTGCTCTGGCTGTACACAAGTCGAATAGATTCCTTATAAGTAAACAACTCTATAAGAATATTAATGCGGTATATACACGACATTGTGGAGCCGTTATTGTCTGCACTAGGGTTTCATGCAGCTATTTGTTTTGGTTGTCTCTAGAGTGAAAAGATATACAGTAAAACCTCCCTTAACCGAAACCGTTTTAACCGAAACATCGTTTAACCGAAACGGATTCAGTTCAGTTTCAATAATTTCGTCAATAAAAAGTAAATTTTTATCGCAAAACGTAAACAAAACCATTAATTTCACTCACCGATTGATGCCTGTGTGTGTTGGGAAATCGAAAAAAACCAAGAGCTCTAAAATATATTTCCGAAAAAGCACTTCCAGTTTTTTATAGAAGCCAAAAAAGCTCATGGATGTAGACCACTTTATTTTTAGAATGGTTGGAAAATGAATTCGTCCCAAGTGTAAAATCCTTTTTAAAATCAAAAAATCTTTTAATCAAAGTATTGTTGCTTGTTGACAATGCGCCAACTCACCTTCAAAATCTACAAAATGGTGACAATTGTCAGATTTTTGCCACCGAATGTCACGAGTTTAATTCAGCCGTTGGACCAGGGAGTAATAGAAACATTCAAGAGACATTATAGAGGAGCATTCTTAAGATATCTGTTATTACAGGAGATGAATGAATCCAAAAGTGTTCCCGAAATTCACAAGTGTTTAACAATTAAACATGTTGTTTATTGGTATATGTGCTATATCGTTCTTCATCCAGACAACATCAGATGACAACCCAACTGCCAGACAACGGGCAGCACGAGACCGCGACGAGATTTTCAATGCCTTAGAGATAATTTTTGTTGTCGTTGCATAAAGTTTTTTCCTTTTTAGATTGCTTTACGTTTCGTCCAACAATCAAATAGGGCAAACTATGGCGTTCTGCAAATGAACGATGGAGAGATATAGCTTCAAAACATTATTGTCGAATGAAAACGCAAAAGAAAATAGAAGATCTTTAAAAAAGCATGTTAAACTTGTTTATTTTCTTTTATTTTATTATTTTATTCTGTATTTACTTATAAGAAACCATTACGAAATCACCTAAGAGTATTTTTTAATACTAATACTTTGACCAAATATACTATAAAGAATTGTTATTTTTAACCGAAATTCTTGTTATCCGAAATGGCTTCCCCCCAATTATTTCGGTTAATGGAGGTTTTACTGTACATAGATAAGTAAAAAGAAATAAGAATAAGACTTACTCACAATCAATTTATTCTACCACCAACGACTGGTTTCGCATACTATAATTTGCTATGCATCTTCAGGTCTTAAGGTACATGGTAAATTAAATGATGCCGATATAAGGATTATTGTGATACCTAAAGATGCATAGCAAATTATAGTATGCGAAACCGGTCGTTGGTGGTAGAATAAATTGAAGTATCATTCTTATTTTATTATCTATTGGAAATGAACTCACATAGGCAACATATTCAAGGTTATAGATAGATTTCGGAGTTATACAGTATTGTGTACTTAGAGCTGATTACTAGTTTTCAAGGATATAAAATACGTTTCTCTATTTCCAGGAAACTTAATCTAGAATCCTTGCACTACGTTCCACCGTCAGTGGTGCATATAGATAATGCATTCAAGGCTCCACAACCTAAGAAACCTAGGAAACAAATACCTGCGAAAAAATACACGAGGTACGATACGTCGTTAAGTTTATTGACCAAGAAGTTTTCCGATCTGTTGGAAAGGAGTCCAAATGGTGTTGTAGATTTAAATAAAGCATCTTTAGAATTGAAGGTAAGATATTCTAATAAGAAACATGTCGGTATTTGGTTTCTTTTAAAGAGTTTTATCAAAGTCCATTTGGATAGGAATTTAGATAGTGTTCCTATATTTAAGCATTTTATGGTACAGGTCGAAATATGGTTATGGTTGTGTAAAAAAGATCACCGTTCGAAAGAAAATAAAGGAAAGATATAATGGAATGGTCGGGAAGATTAGTTTTCGCAAAAATAAATAGTCATATTTGGTTTTTAATTGTTTATTATTAACTTAAAATAATAATGTAAGAGGAGGTGTAATAAAATTACTCTTGCTACCGAAAACAACCGCGAATACTACAGATTAGGACATACTTTAGTAGTTCTGATTTGTAATTAAAAAATTTCTCCAACAGAGGTTTACCTATAAATTCCAAATCTTGTGACATAAAAATTACGTGATTATTCGAATCAAAAAAAGAGTTACTATGTTTGTTTGTGTTTATATGACTGCGGACACTAAATCCATTCCCCAAACTGGTTTATCCTCCTTACGAATACCGTGTGAGAAAAAACTGCCTTATCACATAGTTACTTGCGTCTCTTGTTAAAATAAAGGATTTCTCGATATCGGAATATTGAAGTTTAGGTTCAGAAGTTAATGCTAAGTTCAATTTCTCGAAGGCATCTTATTGTAAGCTAGTCCAATTAAATATTACGTTCTTTTTTAACAAAATTGTTAACGGTTGGGATAGTGGACCGAAATTTGGAATGAAGCGGCGGCGGTAATAGCCAACGAATCTTAGAAAGGCTCGGATATCTTTGACAATTTTAAGAGTGGGATAATTTATTAGAGTGCTAATTTTTTCAGTATCGAATTGAACACAGTTTGTGGTTTGGAATGACCTAAGCACATTACTTCTTTTCGAAGGAACTCACAATTTTCTGATCGAATTTTTAAATTAAACTCAGAGAGTCTTTTAAAAACTTCAAGTAATCGTCTAGTAAACTACGAAAAGTTATATTGTTTATATTCGGATCGCTTCGTTTAATAAAGACATTGGATTAGCGTAGTAGAGTCGTTTCATTATGAGTGAAAGGGAAGGAACGATCAGAGTACTGATGGCTAATGAGGATTCAAGTCCGACCACCTTCAAGAAGCTAGTGTACATTTTGTCGTTGATATATCTCAGAGAAATTGTGAGTTAGTCAAAAAGAAGAGAAACATGGCAAAATTAAGGCGTCAGGTTTCCTTTTTGATATGTTATACTAAAACAATGTTTAATTAAAGGTGATTACTTGGCAACATCGCACTTAACGAAGCCCTTAACGATAACTGTTCAACGAAATCATATTCCACTTATCAATTTTGCAGAGGCGTACCAAACATTTTTAATTATTTATTTAAACATATAAGTAATTACGTAAAAATTAAATCTAAGACCGATATAATTATTAAATTATCATGTGTCTTTGAACAGCTATCTTATAGTTGTCTAACAAAATAAAGTAAAAGTTTATTGTTATTATATAGTTCCTAATACAGTACATCAAAAAACAGAAATATTTGCAAAATACTTATTTTTTCATTAGACGAAACAATCTATGCTTTTAACATACGATCTCGTCGTTGCACTTCATTCTCTATTAATAGAATTGCTGTGTGCTGTAAACGTTTATATATTCTTTTAACTTATTTTGAAAGTTCCCTTGTGTTTATTTGTTTATATAAAAATAAAAATATATTAAGAAATTCATATAAATTAAAATGAAGTAAGCTAAACTATTATCGTGTGAATTCGTATATATAGTAGTGCATTTGTTTATTTCAGTAAATTCTCGAAATATGAAATGAAGATGGCACTAACTACTAAAGAGTTAATAGCTTTGTTAGAAGAAGACTCTGATTGTGAAAATGCTGACTCACTAACTCAAAAAGTTTCTGATGTAGTAGACATTCATGATAATATTTGTGAAGAATCAATAAAATCGGATATTGCAGGTACATACGAAATACAAGTGATTGGGAATTCTGACGATTTTGATTATGATATTCCTCTGAACCACAGATAAAACGTCCAAAGAAAAAACCAGGCAAAAATAGTAAATCCAAATTTGTCTTAAGTTGTAACAACAGATACTCCTTCGTGCTCAATAGTAATTCAACATTAGTCTGAATGATATTTAGACAATATAAAAGCCAACCATGGAGGAAAGTCATATATTGAAGTTTTTTCACTCTTTTTGGTAAAAAAGTAATTGAGAGCATTCTATATTTTACAGATATTTATGCATCGCAGAATAACCGTCACGATTTTGAGATGAATGACATAGATTAAAAAAAATATTAGCATATATATATATTATCTCGTTCACACTCTGCTTCACGTTGATATGCATTGGTCAAAGGATGAGGATAAAGAAGTGCACATTATAAGAGAAAGCATGAGCTGACGTAGATTTATATTTATAATAGTGAAGAAACCGCTACATCAGTGCCAAATTTTGTACATGGACGTCAATCTAAATTAGCTTTACCAGATGAAACCAGATTCGACAATACTGGCCACATTTTAAAAAGAGACGATAGTGCAAGAATGTAGGATATGCAAAAGTAATACTATTTATTTATGTAAAAGGTGTAGAATGCATCTACACCCGGAATGTTTCGAAAATTTTCGCCTTAAAATTTAATTTACATTTATGATAAAATATGTTTCCTTTTTGAAGATTGTACTGTTTTCCTTGAAAGTGAGAAAAAATCTTTGGGTTGTAAATTAGTCTTAATTTATGCGTTTTTAATACAATCTAATAAATTAATTGTCAAATTTCTGTTTGTATATTGAGCGGCCGTTAATGGGTTAATACTATATAAAGAATAAACTTGACTCAAATTTACTTTACTTACCTCAAAACTATTTTAAAGTTAATAATAAAGTCTATTTAATAAATTTATTCCCAGGAAATAGAACACACTACGCATATACACACATATAATGTTGAACGAATAAACTAAAATATCATATTTCTCTCGTTCCCATTCGGTCTAAGAATGTAAATATATATAAACCAGCAAAATATTGATAAGTTTACCGATGTTTAAGACTATTCAATAAACTTGTCTCACTATACACTCATGAATCGCACCAATTTATATTGTTACGGGGGCAAATTTTTATGGAACTACCTTACTTTTTCAGTTATTTACACGGGCGAAGAATACACAATAAAAATGACCCCGGTAAGAATTTACTGCTAACATTTTACATGGTTTGACATTTGGTACCGTTTAGTTCAATTCAATTTGTACATTAGTCACCTTTAATTGAAACTATAGTGTTCGTCTATACTGTTGTCCGACTATAGTGTCCGACTCAATATTCTCTGATTTTATTTTGTGTAAGTATTCCGGGGATTCCGTATTCAGTCCTTCGACTCTGATTTTTGTTCATCAAGAGTGATTCATTTTGTGAATCATGATGATTCTTCTTTTACATAAAACTAGGCTGAGTTGACGCGTCTTACGTCGATTATTTTTGATGGATGTATATCTCTCCTGGTTGTAACATAATTTATCATAGATCTTTGCCCACGGATGTTATTCAATGTATATGTATTGGTCTTTGTGCTCAAACAATGTGTTGTTTATTCTAAGTTAGTTATTCGTGCAGCAGTTTATCATCAGTCTTCCATTTTTGTTTTTAACATGCTTGTTATGTTTTTGCTTAATTCCGGGTATTACTTGATTGCCTATTTGAGCGCTAAAATCCCTAAATGTTATCATCTTCCCTTTGATCTACTACTTGTTGTAATTCGTCATAAAACGTTTTGTTTATTGTTGGAGACTTGTTATTTTCTGAGCCGTATACTCCGATGATGTTCAGGTCTTCCTTGTCTTTTCTTTACTTCTATCCCTGTTATAATCCTTTCTGATCTGTATTGACAATATTTGATGTGATTGTGGTACCTTTGGTGTATTGGTTCCAACTTCTTTGGTCCTGTTTTCTTTTGTTATTCCACTGTAGATTAGTATGTTTTCACCTAATTTTTATTATACTTTTCCTTTCTTTTTTGACTGCGTCTGGGTGAAAAAATCTGAGGGTGAAGGTACCCTCGGAATATCAAATGTTTTGTGTGTTTTTTGTAATATTGGTTTGTGTAATGTGTGTTTACGTATATTATATGTTTGTGTATTGTGTGTTGCATATACAGAGTGGCCCAAAAGTCTGGAAACGGCCAATTATCTCGTAAATTGCTAGTCATAATTGTACTAAATTTGAGGTACACCTATTTTAAGATACGGAGATACCATATTTGATATTTACAATGTTGCCAGATTTTCCGTTTCTCTTATATAATTAGTAACTTTGGTTTTTCAAAAATTCATCACCCTGTATATTTAGTCATTATTGGAATCTCCTATTCAATACGAGTTCAACCATATGTAACACTTATGATTTTATGTAGTCTGGAAGGTCTTAAATACATAAAACGGAAGTCTGGCAACACCTAATTGCCTAATAAATTTTTTAATACTTACTATTTTTAATTATATTTAAAACTTAACAATTGATAGATTACAACATTTTTTAGCATAATGGTTACTTTATCAAGTGTTCAAAATGTGCTTCATTTGTGAGTTGACAGTACCCTAATCGATGGTAGAATGCGTCTACCACGTTTCTTCATGATTGTCTAGAAATTATTCGAGATTCATCGATAATTCATTGCCTTAGCTCTGCAAGACTTGCTGGTTTAGTTTTGTAAACTGAATTTTTCAAGTATCCCCAAGAAAAATAATCTTTAGGATTAAAATCAGGTGAACGTGAAGGCCATTCAATTCTACCTCGTCTACCAATCCATCGTCCGGGAAATATCTCATCTAAATAACGCCGAACATTTACACCAAAATGAGGTGGAGCTCCATCTTACTGAAACCATATCTGATTAAAATTGGCCCCAAACAAGTTTCTCAGTGTAGGTACAATTTCATTTCTAAGTAACATTTCGTAACTATCTGACTTTAAATTTCCTTCGATGAAAAATGGCCCAATTAACTGAGTACCTACTATACCTGACCATACATTTAATTTTTGTGGTTTCTGAGTATGGTTTTCACGCATCCAGTGTGGATTTAAGTCACTCCAGTACCTTAAATTGTATCGATTTACACTTCCACACAGTGTAAAGGTTGCTTCATCAGAAAAACATATTCTGTTAACGAAATTTTCATCATTTTCAATTTTTTCCATCATTACCTCAGTAAACTCTAATCTACGATCGAAGTCATCTTCACTTAATTCTTGCAAGTTAATTTTGTATGGTTTAAATTTATTCTTACGTAATACACGTAAGACTGAAGAACGACCTACATCATGTACTTGTGCAACCTTACGTGAGGATGTACGTGGATCTTCTACAAAACTTTGCATTATATCTAAAGTTTTGTTGTCATTCATAACTCTTTTCGGTCTACCTGATCGGTATCTATCTTTTACTTCTCCAGATTCCTCAAATCGCTTTATAGTTTTTTGTATCGTCGCCTTATGAATAGGAGAACGGTTTGGGAAAGTGTCATTGAACAAGTTGGCTACTTCACAATAAGATCTTTTTCTGTCACCGTACCTTCTCATCATTAGAATAGTAATTCGTTCTTTTTCGTTAAGAGCCATTTTAGAGACGCTATTTATTTTGTAGAACTTTTCGAAACACAACTACTGTCAGTTTTAGTTAATAATGTAAATGGTGAACAAATGTCAAAATCACAGCATTCTACACTTAAATATTTAAATTTATTAAAATCTACATATTTTGAACTGTTTTATGTATTTAAGACCTTCCAGACTACATAAAATCATAAGTGTTACATATGGTTGAACTCGAATTGAATAGGAGATTCCAATAATGACTGAATATACAGGGTGATGAATTTGAAAAATCAAAGTTACTAATATTATAAGAGAAACGGCAAATCTGGCAACATTGCAAATATCAAATATGGAATCTCCGTATCCCAAAATAGGTGTACCTCAAATTTGGTACAATTATGACCAGCAATTTACGAGATAATTGGTTTCCAGACTTTTGGGCCACTCTGTATAATGTATTCTGCGACATTTATTATTGGTATTTTTTTATGTTGACTCGTTCTTTTAGTATTGGCAATCAAAACCTGCTACATTTTGCTAATGTATTTGCGCTACATTTTGCTGATGGACATGCTATACATTTTTCTTCATTAAGTAGGATGAGAGATGCTTCTTTAATTTTTCTCTAGCAATTTTAACTTAACGTCGAACGTTAGGTAAAACTGTAATTTTCATTACAATCAATTGTGGTTGAACCTCATATAAACATCATCATCAACCTGTATGCGTTCACTACTGGACATACGCCTCCCTCAGCTCTTTACTATTCGACAGATTATTTTTTATTATAACAATATTTAACATATTTTCGAAGTTTGTTAGAGCTGCAGGTTCAAGCAGTGCATTTTTATATTTACTTTCATACATTTATTTTTTTAGCTCTCGTTTTTTATTTATATTTTAATGAATGATAATTCTTATGTATTTGGGTTTAGGTACAAAAAAGGCGAATATACGACATCACGAACGTGCTGGAAGGAATAGGTATATTAGAAAAGAAATCAAAAAACAACATTCAGTGGAAGGGATCACATGGACAGAATAGTCAGTGCGTAGAATTTAAGAAGCAACTGCAGAATTTAGACAATTTCGAAAATTATTTAGATCAGATGATAGAGTCAGCGTCGAACGAATTAAGCAAATTAACACATGACAGGTCAGTATTTCTATCCGTTGAAATCGTAGATCTTTACTCTTGTATCATCTTTAAAGCGCCGTTTACAAAAGTCAGTAGTATGTGGTCTTGTTTTGAACACATTCATTTTAATCAGTGGATTCAACGGTTGAGTTTTGTACTTAATAATGACCATGTGTAAATGATTATTTTTACTCCACTTTATTTAGAAAAAAAAAAATTAGAAACCTTGTATTATAACGAATATTTTGTCTACCACATAGGGTATTATTACAGGAATATAGGGGGTTGAAAATTTGGGACAGAAACTATTGGGGTGGAGATAGGGCAAGCAAAATAAACGAAACTGTTGCGAACGGTAACTCGAGGGTTTATGTGAGAGCTAGGTCGTGGATAAGTGAATGACAAGGGGGTTGGATTGGGGCAACTACAAAAATGAAACAAACAGAGGGTACTTACATGAATCTCAAATGGACAAACAAAACGCAAGAAAAGAAGGTCCTCTAGCTATTTAAAATGAGGACACCGCTTTGAGGAAACTTCCTGCTGGATGAAATAAAAGGTTCTTCCTTCCTAAAAAACGCAAAGAGAGGTTAGGAACTTTTTTTTTAAAGTAATAGACAAAATGGTTTAGGGAAAAAAATTAAACATTTATGACTGTCTCGCCACAAACAGATAGAAAGTAAATAGTACAAAAATACTATATTAATAGTTACAAAAGTAAATACAAAGATAACGAAGAGAAACAGTTACTACGTCCTATCTGTTTACAAACTTTAGTAGTTGGAGATACTACAAAACTTACAATTATTATCGTGCGATTAATGGGATAATTATCTACACCAGCAGTGTAATAATCCATCTGCATAATGGGTTTATCTGCACCAGCAGATAAACCCCTTAACGTAATTAGAAACCAGATAGATTATATATTGGTAAATAGAAGATTCAGAAACAGTTTTAAATCTGTCAAAACATATCCAGGAGCGGACATTGAATCTGACCACATACCTTTAGTGGGAGTTATGGATGTGAGACTGAAGACAATGAAGAAAAAGTCTAGACCTAACTACGACATGACAGCCCTGCAACATCCGGAAGTTAAAAAGCAAGTAGGGGAATATATTAACAACCAAGTTAAACAACTAAAAGAAGAAAATAACATCCAACGAGAAATCAATCAATTCGAAGAAATAATATTAAGAAAACTAAACAAGATCTGCTAAAACCAAACAAAGAAACAAAGAAGAAATATTGGATGACTCCAGAAATCCTTCACTTAATGGAACGCAGAAGGTTAATTAAAGGAAATAAAGATGAGTATAAAAAAATACAGGCTTACATCAGAAGAAAAATAAGAGAAGCTAAAGAAAAAGAAGCTGTAGAGAAATGTAAAGAAATAGAAAGACTACAAGCCGAGCATGACAATTTTAATGTACACAAAAAGGTAAAAGAAATAACGGGTACTTTTAAAAAGCGAACACAAATGCAACTCATAGACACCAATGGAAAATTAATCATTGACTCCCAAGAGATGAAAGACAAATGGAGAATATATTTGGAGACACTTTTTCAAGATCAAAGAACGGATTATAGGCATCCATTTTCAGAGAGGATGACGGGTCCGGACATACTTAAATCCGAGGTAGAAGAAGCAATAAAACGGATGAAAAGCAGGAAAGCTGTAGGGCCTGATAATATCGAAGCTGAATTTTTAAAACTCTTGGAGGAAGAAGGAATAATTTGGATCACGGCTGTCTTCAATAAAATATACAATACAGGAATCATTCCTGATAAATGGCTAGAATCAGAATTTATAGCGATACCTAAAAAACAGGGGGCTAAAAAGTGCGAAGAATATCGAACAATCAGCATAATGAGCCACATGTTGAAACTGTTTCTTAGAGTCATCCATGGAAGAATTTATAAGAAGTGCGAGGAACAAATATCGGACATACAGTTCGGCTTCATTAAGGCAGTGAGTACCAGAGAGGTACTTTTCGGAGTACAGGTACTGATTCAAAGATGCAGGGACGTTAACTGCGACGTATACGCGTGCTTGATCAACTATGAAAAGGCATTTGACAGAGTTCAACATCAAAAGATGATAAATATTTTAAAAGAGACAGACCTGGATGACAAAGACCTCAGAATAATTTCAGAACTCTACTGGAATCAGACCGCATACATGAAAATTAACGGAGAAGAAACAGATCACATAAAAATACTACGCGGAGTTAGACAGGGATGTATCCTATCGCCGTTGATATTTAATATGTACTATGAGACAATTTTTAACGAGGCTCTTTACGGAATAGACGAAGGCATCATTCTAAATGGTGAAAGAGTAAACAATGTTAGATATGCCGACGACACCATGGTGATAGCAGATAGTTTAGAGGGACTTCAGAGGCTAATGGACAGAATAAACGAGTACAGTCAACAGTACGGACTAAACATTAATACCCACAAATCGAAACAAATGATTATCAGCAAGGAGAATATAAACGGGGCTCATCTATACATTAATGGGACGCAGATAGAGCGAGTAAAACAGTATTGTTACCTGGGAACTATTATTAACGAACAGTGGAGCAATTTACAGGAAATAAAGTGCCGCATAGGAAAGGCAAGAACGGTCTTTAACAAAATGAGCGCCATCTTCAAAAGTCACAACATATCCCTTGACACAAAAATGAAACATTTGAGATGCTATGTTTTCTCTGTGTTGTTGTACTTGGTGGAGGCATGGACGCTTACAGACACCACTATTAAAAAACTTGAAGCATTTGAGATGTGGCTTTATAGAAGAATGCTGAGAATATCATGGACAGCAAGGATCACGAACAGGGAAGTTCTAGGAAACATGAAGAAGGAACCAGAGATTGTGTTTACGATCAAACGCATAAAATTGCAATATCTGGGACACGTTATGAGAAATCAGCACCGTTACTCCCCGCTACAGTCTATATGGCAAGGTAAAGTCAAAGGTAAACGAGGACCCGGTAGAAGGAGAATATCATGGCTGCGGAATTTAAGAACATGGTTTAAGAAAACCTCAACGGAGCTGTTTCGAGTCGCAGCGAGCAAGGTTATGATTGCCAATATGATTGATTTCCAACATCTGAAACGGATAGGAACCAGAAGAAGAAGAAGAATGGGATAATTTGTATCAGAAATAATTTATGACAAATGAAAATTATCTTTAAGTGAAACTTATAGCATAGAGCATAGAGGTTAACCTTCATTAAAAAACAAAAACAAACTAATGTTAAAAAATAAAACTAGCTGTCAGATGTCAATGTTGAATTTTAAATCTGAGAATAATTGATATAACAGCTATGGCCACACCCTAAAATCTACAATTTTAAATATTTTTAAATTGTTATGAAAGCAATTATTATTAGAAAAAAATGTCTATTTTTACTTTAAAAAATCAAACAAAAAAAAGTTACGTGTTTTTCACTAAAATTGCTTTAAATTTTCTGGGGTTGGGTTTAGAACTGGAATTTAAACTCTCTGCCACTCGAACAAAAAATTGCATCTCACACTGCGAATTGTATTCTGAAACGGCTTCTTAGGACATACAAATTTGAGGTTGAAGCTCGCACTGGACACGTACTTTAGACTCAGCATCTTACAAAACTGGAACCATAGTGGGTATTTTTAAAAGTTCATTGTAAATTTACAAGTATCTCAGATGAGAGACGGCTTGCAAATAAAAAACAGTGATTACTCGTTCAGAATTGACACATTACATTGAGTAAAAATCACTTTTTGTAACAAATTTTTCCGGATTTTTTCTGACTAAATACAACGAACTTGGTTCTCCTTGACCAAATATTCAAACCTCACTTCTCTTCGACCTTCCTAATACCGGTCGGCTTCCTCTGCTACACTTTTCACCTTCAAGTCGAAGGGACTAAACCGGAATGCGCTTGACCTTGATCATTGCTTGCTTTTAAAATTTCAGGACGAAACTTTACCTAATATTCGATAGTTTTTAAGGTATTTTCAGCATGCTACAGTGTTAGCAACATTATAAATTTCAAACATATCCTTGTGATTAGGTTTTACAATTAACAATCAATTACAACTTTAAGAAAATACTTACGATCGATAAAACGATCGTGTAAAAAGTTACTTGATCTGGTACCATCTTTTACACAGTTGTTAGATGTACCGAGTGCACAAACTTCTATCAAAACAACATATTTCATTGCTTAAAAGCTTACGAAAACTGATTTGTCTTTATTTCACGTGTGATTTGTGCTATATATTTTTATCTTCTTACACAGGTACGGTTACGTGACTTACCAAGACCTTCGCTCCATCGACTCATTCCGAAACAAAACAGTTATGGCGATCAAAGCGCCGCCTAGCACAAAACTTTCCGTGCCTGCCGGGCAAGGCGAGAAATATACCATTAAGATGAGCAGCGATTCGGGAGAAATAGATGTTTACCTATGTCCCGAGTCTCCGCCCGTTAAACCGAAACCTGAGAAAGTGCCATGTATGGATATGTTGTTAAGGGATATCAGTCCTGTAGGTCTCTTTGATCTGTCTACTCCGCCAGTGCCTCAGTTGGACAGTCCAACGCCTATTTCTTCACGGGTAAGTATTAGGTTTAGAATTATTCTTTGAGCAGACAGTAAAACTTATTATTAGATCTTGGCAAATATGCCGAACTGATGTGAGCTTTATGTGAGTTGCTCTGACATTTAGCCCATTGTAGTTTTTTTTGGCTTTTGGAAGAGGATTTTCGTTTTATCTTGGAGTGTAGGTTTTCATGACTAGAGTTTAGTTGTACATATACAATTGGAGTTTACATTTAAACCAAAAACGTGATTTCTGGTGGTAATAAACCGATCGTAACACAAGAGTAATACGCAGACCTCGTTGCTCATTATCGAGAGCGTCATTGAGGTGGGTGTAAATATTAACAATGGAAAAATATCAGTTTAAAAAAAAAAATACTGAATACTACCAAACAAACCAAAGTATTTTAGTGTATTTTTGTAAACAAACCAAAGAGAGACAAAATTAATGGAATCTTCCGCAAATGCTAGTTATCACCACTAAACTGAGGAGCAGACTTTCTATATGCATTTTGTCCATTTTTTCAAATTTTCAACCAAAGATGGCATCGCAAACTATATGTATAGAGCCACCATTTTTTGTCACGAAAAACGTTCTAAATGCATTCTGTTGTTTGCAAATTAAATGAAAAACGAAGTTTGTCCGTGCGCTATGGACTTATTGCGATTTGTTTGTCGTTGGCGGTCGTTGTCGTTGTATAGTTGGTGTTCTATACTGTTAAGTTTGTTTTATGTGCTATAGTTTATTCGTCTTCCGGGTTTGGACCGTGTCATTTGTGAGTGACCCAAAAGTGGGTTCATCTCGACGTTTCGCTACAATTGTATGTAGCTTCTTCAGGAGAACAAAAAAGAAAAAAGAAAGAAAGAAGAAAACAAAGAACAGGAAGATGGGTAGTTAGCAACGGTAACTCAGTTACTCAACGCAACCAGAGGCGAATACTAACTACCAAGATGGGCATTTGGTCACAGTAACTCAACTACTCAACGCAGCCAGAGGTGTGCCAGAGGAGCACACTTCGTGGCGCGAACGTCAAGAAGCGCGCGCTGGCCAATCATGTGGCTGCATCGTAGTGGCGGGACCGGACGGCGGTTCTAGACTGGATTCCAGATGGGAGACAAGTAGTATCCTTCCTCTCGATTGATATTATGGGGATTTTTTCGGATCTCTAGAGATTCGCGGATTTTCCTGGAATAAAAGAAGGGGCTTTTAGAAATAATATGGGTTTTTTCGAACAAAATGGAATGACCGGTTTCTTGGCAGTGTTCTGCAACTGCAGAATGGGAGAAAAGACCTGATCGAATGCATCTTTGATGCTCTTGAATCCGAGTTTTGACGGAACGACCAGTTTCGCCAATATACACATGTCCACATGAACAAGGAATAGAATAGACACCACAGGAAGATAGGGGCGGTAATGGGTCCTTAGGAGAGGGTAGATATTGTGAGATTCTCTTGGGTGGTGGAAAAGTAGTCCTGATACCTTCTTTGCGAAGAATTTTGCCAATCCTATCAGTGACATTTCGAATATACGGAAGAAAAGCCACAGGAGTATTACCCGAAGATTCTGAATTTGTCGTCCTAGGGTGTAAAGGGGATGTAGATGTCGGTGTGTAATATTTTGAATTGTGGACTTGGAGTAACCGTTGGCGACAAGGGTTTTTTGCAGATGGCCAAGTTCTTCTCTAAGGTTGTCGGGTTCAGAAATCGAAATGGCCCGATGGATGAGAGAGTTGATCACAGAATTCTTTTGGGCAGGATGGTGGTGTGATGAAGCATGTAGGTAACGATTCGTGTGAGTCTTTTTTCTATAAACAGAGTGACCCAATCGGCCATTGGGCTTGGAGGTGACTAACACATCGAGAAAGGGAAGGGACCGATTATTTTCTACTTCCATTGTGAATTTTATACTCGAATGTTGTGAGTTAAGATGATCTAGGAAGGGAGAAAGGGTATGTTGACCATGGGGCCAGATGATAAATGTATCATCAACGTAGCGGAACCAGACTTTTGGTTTTAAGGGGTAAGATTCTAGGGCTAAAGACTCAAAGGCTTCCATGAAAATGTCAGCAATGACAGGGGAAAGGGGAGAACCCATTGGTGTTCCAGATATTTGTTTGTAGAAATTGTCTCTAAAAGAAAAATATGTTGAAAGGAGGCATTTTTCCGCAAGATCTGCCAAAACCAAAGACTTGTTATCATTGGTCAAGTGATCTCGCAGAACGACTAGAGAGTCATGTATGGGGATATTGGTAAATAGGGATGATACATCGAAACTGACGAGAATGTCTTGGGGATCGACTGTGAGAGAGGAGATTAAGGTGATGAAATGTGTGGAATTTCGGACATAAGAAGAGGTGCGACCAGTATAGGTCTTAAACTGATTCGACAAGTACTTTGCGAGTTTGTAGGTAGGAGAGTTAATCGTAGTCACAATGGGACGAAGAGGTACGTTATCTTTATGGATTTTGGGAAGACCATAAATTCTGGGGCAGATGGAGTTTTTCGGAACTATGGACTTCTTAATATCATCGGAAAGATCGGATTGTTTGATGACATGGGCAAATAAGAAATAAGATAAGTCTTCTTTCTGACACTGGTGATCAAAATAGCAATCAAGTTAATTTTGGTGAAACTGCCATTATTGTTCCATTCATTTTTAAACATTATTTTGTATTTAAAAATAAAATACTATTTTTATGAAGCTACTTGTGTTTTTTTACATCGTTACTACCAAAAGTTTGTCATACCGCTTGGTGTAGACAATCAAAATGCGTTTTGTCCAAGGATGACAATCTGAATGCAGGTTGTCCATCAGTTTTTTCAAGTTTTTTGGGATATTATCAATACTAGATTTTTAGACTATAGGTATAATATTTGAATGATTTTTCATCCATATTTTAGGTATATCAGTTTTTCGTTCAATTTCTTGCCAAGCACATAGCAGTTTTTCTCTATTTGCCAGAATTACAAAAAATGGACAAAATGCATATAGAAAGTCTGCTCGTCAACTGTATTTAAGAGACTATAACGTATATCTAGCTAAAGGATAATATATATGGATGGCCAAATATATGGCCTTCTTCTCTTTATATAGACAAGACTCTGTCTGTTTTTTAATGTGCCTCTAGTAAGTTGTCGTTTCATCGTTTTCGTGGTCTTCCTACTGATCGTCTTTCTATTAGGAACCGTCTCTTGCCGTCTTTACTACTCTATTTGTTGTCATTCGGCTTATATTATCGTTATTCTACTCTTCTTACCCAGTTCTTGATTTTTCCATCTTGCATCTACGTCATATATCTGTACTTCTAGCTCTGTCTCATAGTGTCTTACCATCAATTTTTATAATTGTTTTCAGCTCTGCTTTTTCTAACATCCTTTTTGTCCTCTCTGTGTCAGGTCTCGTTTCTGCCGCGTATCTCATAATTGGTCTGATAACTGTTTTGTAAATTCTGCCTTTCGTTTCTTTCCCGATATTTTTATTTCTCCTAATTGTTTCATTCAAACAGTGTGCGGCTCTTGCTCTCTTCACGTGATCTTCCACTTCAGTTTCAAGCTTTCCGTAGCTAAATGTGATGCTTATTTATGAAGAAAAAACAGTAACCATGAAGATAACATTCTAAAGAGAACATATGCTAAATTAGAACCAATTCGGAGACAAAGCCTTCATGAACTGTAAGAAACCGTAAGTAAGTACTGACTAATAACCAAGAACAATCAGAAATAGCACACACAACACCGCAGTCAAGGAAATAATTTGTAAGCAATCAACAAGAAAGAGCCAGGCTAAATAACAAAAAGAGCTGTTGCAACGCACTTAATAATGTTTGCCAAGTTATTTTGTACACCCAAATGACAGGGCTGACAAAAAAAGTTAGCTGCAATAGGTGTTCAATACGCCTCATTTTTTGTCACACTTATGGATCATAATTGACGTTTAAGTCAGTCGTACAAGAATTCTGTACCATATCCTCCGCAGTTGTAATAGATATAATCTTTGTAACCTCCCAGTTACTAATTGTATCGCTGATCGATCTGATTAAAAAAAATTCGTCCACATGTCATCTAACCTATATATTTTTTCCAGTTATGCAGAAGCTTAACCTTCAAGGATCCATTCGATCCCGGTCCAAGTACATCGGGTACGCAACAGAACCTCCTGAACCACCTCCAGCCACATCATAACCATCCACATCCACACAACCACCAATTGGTGTCGTCCCATGATTCTCCGAGCCCATTGGTGAAGAACGAGAACAATATGGTGAAGAGAGAAGTGTTTTTGCACGATGACGTGGAGGGGCTGAGCCCTATGGTTGGACGATTTAACTTTAATAGTACACAGACTGAACATAGTAGTAACTTAGGTAAGTCCAATATAATATCTATTGTAGTAATATAACTATAGCTTGTATAGAAAATGTATGGAAGAAAATAAATTACAAAGTAAATAATTACATATTAATGCGACGAATGTGTGCTAGTTTTGCTGAAACTAGCTTTTCATACCTAGGTTCTGTATTCGAGACGCAAACAATGACGCCGTTTTCGAATTCTAAGCACTGTCTCAGTTTCGTTTTAAGAGTATACTATATTTATAAGTCTAACTTATTAGCTTTATTTATTATAAAAGGTTCTACACTTTTACAACACTTAAAAGTTTATTAAAGTCTTTATTTATACAATATTACACTAATTTATGTGACACTATAATTATATAATTTATTTGCAACATTTATTGCAATTTATATTCCCGATAATAATTTAATAAAATTTCCTCTTTCTATATAAAACACCGTTAATCTGGAATCCCGGCGACCCCTTTCGAATAGATTGGAAGGTCACACCAGACAGGTTTTTAGCCGTGGATGTTTGTCTAGAAATTTCTGCCGGCTTTGATCGGAACGCTGGTGTACTATCTGAAAATTTCCAATCGTCGCGTCGGTATAAGGCCCGTGGGTATTATCTTCTACAAAATACTGGTTAGAAAAAGATGTTTACAGTTTAGATATGAGTCATTATTTATCGTAACATAGCATTCATTGCTGAGAAATAGCATTCATTGATGAAAAGCCCTACTCACTTATCATCTGCCATGCCACTTATTCTTCTTTGCGGAGTATTATTAGAAAGGGGTATGGATTTATTTTTGCAGCCACTTTTTCACCTACTATTATTTCTCTCCTTCATATCAACATATGCAGTTAGGATCAAATCTTCAACAGTTGTATATGGCTTACTGGTTGTTGCAATGTGATATGCAACGCTATAATTCTTTCAAAGAATTCTACAGGCTTCTCTTTTTTGTCGGGATTTTGGTAGTTATTTGTTGAAGTAGTCTCATACTTTCTTCTGACAAAAAAACTTCTTCACAAATAACGCACTGTGGATTATAAAAAATAACTGTAAAGCCATATTTAAGATACTAAGATACTGACTACTAAGTCACTACAATCTGTTTTTCCTTTTGTTATTTTTATTTCCGGACGTAAACAGCCGTATGATCTTTTTAAAAATGTATCCATGTCTTATAGAATAGTAAAGATAAAAAACGAATGTAATACACATAACTTAAGCACCGTTTTACTATAACAACGCAAAATTTGTTGTTTTATCACGATTTCCCTCTTATACGTACATATTAAGTCAAATTTTTACAATTCTAGAAAAATCTAGGCACTAGTGTAGCGCTTTTTGTTGGTTAAATGCTGAAGGAGAACGTAAGAAGAAAGAAATTGTGTAACTAGCTCATAGATGGCCCAAGTAAAAACATTTTTCTCTATTAAAAAATGGTACCAAATCTTAGACGACGTATTAAATCCCTTGCCCTTGATTTGGCAATGTTATTAAATGGCGAATGAACTGGTTATGGTACGAAAATGGGGTCGCCAACAAATTTTGGCAAAGGGAATCCCGATCTAAGAAAGTTAGGGAAATTTTGGTCTAGGGCAATGAGAAAGTATTATGAATTATTAACTGAGTATAACAGAAAATATTCTACTCCTAATTCATCGTAGCGAGTCTGAAATTTAAGGCCCACTCTTTACCGACCTGGTTATACTGAAGGATATTGGACTAAGTGCCAGGACTAATTATTAACTGTACGAAAGAAAAACCTTGAATGAAGCATAATAAAACGATATTTGTTTCATTCATTAAAATGAGTTACCTACTAATACTTACAAGATCATTAACTTAACTATTAACACCTCAGAAATATCACCAATAAAGGAGCAATGGCTTAATGTTCCGTAGTCTTTGTGGCAAAACATGATCTTTGATCTATTGACCATATAACGTATACTCATAATTACTTGTATGAGTGATGGTAACTGTCCAGTGGAAAACAAAATCTTAAATTCTTCGTTACTTTTGGTTAACGGTATTAGGACTTCCCGTGGCTTTATTACAGAACTTAAGACCATAAATGAAACAGAATGTCTTCCGACATGAGGGTTGATTTCAGCGAGATATCTTCAAGATAAGCCGTGGCCGAGACCTGTTATCTTACCTTCGCGACGAGCTGTCGCCAGGATCAAATTTTGCAAAAAACGACAGGGGCGTCGCCAGGTCATTTAGGTTTTAAAGAGTACCTCACTGATTTGAGGGAACAAAACAACGCAGCAAAAGGCAATAACAGGAAAGTTGCAAATCGAAAGGGGCAAATTCTCGCTTTGTGTGTAGGTCGTGTGTAGGGCTCACGGGTGCAATGAGATTGTAACCTTCAGGGTATAGATTTTAGGCATTAGGCGTCAATGTATAATCATCGAACGACCCATAAGAAACGATGGGTAACAATATAACTACCTCCAAAAGTAGGGACCCAGTGTAGAACAACTAACTAACAAGTTTCGTTGGAAGCTAATTGTTAAACCTTGTCTAGCTCATTCTCTCAGGTGTGAGAATATCTTACACCTGAGAGAAGTAAATCTGAAAAATGAGTTTTTCCCAGACAAATAAACCAAAATATTAACTAATCATATTTATTATACATAAAAAAATTATAAAATTATGATTTAATATGAAATTAAAATAAAAGCTTCCTATAGCTTTACGAAAAAGAGTTTTAAATGATACTTATGGCTTTTTATGTTGTCTTCAAGTCGTTAGGACTGCAGAATGTGGTTGTTGGTTGCTGCTAGTTCCAGTTGTTGATGTTGTTCAACAGAGGGTCTTTGTTACAAAGAACATATTCTTTTAATACTTCACGTTCTTCTTGACAAATTTTACATCATGGCAGCAGTCATATTTTTTATCAAGAGAAAAATAATATTTTCTAGATCCGACTTGGTGTTGTATTCTGTTGTTGAAGACCTTATCTCTTATACAGCTTCAGTGCTTTTCCTTATGCCTTGAAGTTTATTTAGTACCCTTATTGTCTATTAAATCCCTGGTATTAAATGAACTCTCTACAGGGATATGTTTAGTTCCCATAGTAGCGGCCACCTACTGTGATTTCGGAAGTCCTCGCGCAAATAGGTGAACAAAAATTGATATTAGGCCAAAAAACTAGAATAATGAACCTTGGGTCAGCAACTGCATAGGTTTGAAAATATTTCCTTGCCATATGAAGATTCAAAATTATTAAAATATTAAATAGCAAATTAGCATGAAATATTTTAAGACATCTAGAATGACATCTAGAATGAGATCTAGAAATAGTTCTGAGAAAATCAGTCTTTTTGCTACCTTGGACATTGCCGTATTAATTGTTTTCTGCGAATTAAAGATAAAACTTCCATATATTTTCTAAATAATGTCTAATAATTCTAAATAATTATTTTGGTAACATTTTCTGCTACTTTTAACAAGGTACCGTTTAAATTCAGCTCTTCCAATCTCTACTAACACAAAGTACTAACTCTTCATTTCAGCTTTACCAACGTGGATGCGTTCGGGAACTCTATCTGTGACATGTGTGTCACTATTATTCACATCACAGGCAGAGTTCTAGCTACGCGTTTACTCCTAGCACGGGTTTTTCTTGAAGGCGTGCTGGTAAAAAAGGAACACTATTACTACCAATTGGAGTAGTTTTCTGCGAATTTTAGGCTGTAAATAAGTTTTTTTTTAATTATTTACTAATACATACTATAATACCTGTAATTTAAAATTTTTACGTAAATAATTTTGTTTCTGTAACATGAAACTTTATTAATCTTAACTCCATTCAGAAATAAATGTCCCATTTGCTTTTTTGAAAATTAAGAAAAGACAACAAAACTTCTCTCATGAGGTACCGAAATCAAAATATACATGACCCTAATACGACCAATTGCCATGTATAGAAACAAAACATGAAAAAAAAGTTAATAAAGCACTGGTGTGGGAAAGCACCAGACACCAGATAACCATGCACGACATACCTAAAGGACAGGATATTATGTGATATGGAGTAGGCACGGCAGACTTGGAGGCAATAAACAATGTGTTTTGGGAAAGACAAGAAGGGAGAAGAGCTGTAGGGCGGCATAGGAAAACATAAAGATACATGCACGTAATTCGTGGCGCCCCTCTTGCGCATGAGCGCAAGAGTAGGGATCCCGGTTTTACTGGCATTTGCCCCTACAAGTCTGACACCATTTAAGGATGGCACGTTGCTAACGCCTGCGTGTGTTTTTACAAAGCCGACACCTCAAACGACGGCTCTACATCTCTCATTCAGACAGGATCTGAAGAAAATTGGGGTGAGCTAATAGGAAATAGTAGCACAGGACCGACAAGAGTGGAAAGCGATAGTAGTACAGGCGGCAAAGGCTCAGACAGAGAGAGAGAGAGAGAGAGAGAAATAGAGAGAGCGAGAGAGATAGTGAGAAAGAGAGAGAGAGATAGTGAGAAAGACAGAGAGAGAGAGATAGTGAGAAAGACAGAGAGAGAGAGAGAGAGAAAGAGAGAGAGATAGAGATAGTGAGAAAGAGAGATAGATAGAGAGAGGGAGAGAGAGAGAGAGAGAGAGAGCGAGAGATATAGATAGAGAGAGCGATAGAGAGAGAGAGAGAGAGAGCGAGAGGGAGAGATAGTGAGAGAGGGAGAGATAATGAGAGAGACAGAGAGAGAGATGGAGATAGTGACAGAGAGAGAGAGGGAGATAGAGACAGAGAGGGAGATAGAGACAGAGAGGGAGATAGAGACAGAGAGGGAGGTAGAGACAGAGAGGGAGATAGAGACAGAGAGGGAGATAGAGACAGAGAGGGAGATAGAGACAGAGAGGGAGATAGAGACAGAGAGGGAGATAGAGACAGAGAGGGAGATAGAGACAGAGAGGGAGATAGAGACAGAGAGGGAGATAGAGACAGAGAGGGAGACAGAGAGAGAGAGAGGGAGACAGATAGAAAGAGAGGGAGACAGAGAGAGAGAGGGAGACAGA